GGCAGTGCAAACGCCCAAAGGTAAGAAAGAGCACGATAAGAGCTGAGGAGCTGGAAGGATGAGGAGGGAATAGTGAGACATGAGAACAGAAAGATAAGAAGGGACCAGGCCATGAACTGCCTTTTAATCCATGTTGGGCTTTAGCCTAAGAGCAATTGGGACTTACTGGCAGGCCAGAAGCAGAGGAGAAATGTGGTGACATCTGTATGGAAGTTAGGGGACCAAGACTGGAAGCAGGACATCATTAGGAAGCCTTCCAAGTGAGAGACTATGAGACTGCACTAGAGAAATGCAAGAAAATATGGTGATAAGAGTGTAGAGATATTTAGGAGGCAGAATTAATGAACTTGATTGATGTTAATGCAATGAGAGGGTAAAGAAAGAGAGAGAACTTAAGAATGACTCAAATTTTCCTATATTATTCCAAAGTCCATGTTTAAAACACCTACACAGCTTTCTAGGATCTTGCATGATAATGTTCAATTTTCTTCAACAAAGTAGGAAGCCAGGTTGTCTACTAAAACTGGGAGGGGAGATGGCAGAAGGAGATTTAGTAAAAGTCTAAAATAGCCACTTTGTAGAAAGAGAAAGAGTTGAGCAGAGAAACACAGGCCCAAATGCGCCTGTAAGTCTTGAACTGGTGGCCTTCATCTGTGCAGATGTGAGATTTTTCTCCAGCCGCATTCAGCCGCCAGCGTGAAGATGCACAGAAGATAGACAAATAGACTGATACACAGTCAAGAGTATTCCATGAGGGGCAGAGGATTTAAGGACATGAGTATGGGAGAGTGGCTAAAGTGATGAAACAGCCTGTAAGCTGAAGAGAAAAGTGAAGAGCAGGTGTGCTAATGAAAAGAAAGCAGACGGGTCAAGGAACTAGAGAGCTTCCATGACAGCATTCCCCAAATGTGTTTCTCAGACACCAATTACAGGATGTTAATCACTGATATGCTCCTCATTAAAAGCTTTTCATGGTTAAGTAAGTAACAGAAAGCCTGGGTAATATAACTTTTAAACAGGTTTCCTTCCAGCACTACTTGAGCATTTAATAAGCCAGTAATACATACTATAGAGCATTTAATAAGCTAGTAATACATACTGTAGTTCTCTAATAATTTATCTCTAGGACAAATATGTATTTCCCAAACATTTCTGATTAATGTATATTATCTATCTATATTTACCAGAGAATCTCACTAAATGGGTATCTAAAGGAACATATTTTCAGAAGGTCTGTTCTGTGAAATGAAAGGGAGGGATAGTAGAACACTTGGAAAGAAAGTCATATGTTACCTGGTATGTTACTACTATCTTACCAAGGCAGGAGGTTTACCTGAAAGTTCTCTTAGCTCTCAGAGTGATGAATCTTTAATCCTACTACAAATCAATACCTGAAAGAAAAAGTTTCAATTCTGACTATACTGTAGTTAGTATTCATTCATGAAAGCAATATTCCAAAAACATCTACTATCATGCAGTATAGGAGATTCACACAGTATTTTTACCACGACAAACTTCACAATCTATTTGGGGAAAAAATACACACATGTACACATGAAAAATAACAACCTGGTTGGAGAATAACGGCTCTTCCTCAATACCAAAAAGATATTGTTTCCCTTCAGGAAAACCAGAGCTATCAATCCAGCTCCACCCAGCTCCGTAAGACCAGAAGTTGCCTCCACAGAGACAAAGCTAACTGAGTAGGTCTGAACTGAACAAGGTAAAAGGCCTCAGTCTTCTATTTGCTGGGGCAACTGTTCTCCCAGAGTCACCCACAATGAAATAATCTCTGCTACTCCATCAATTTGATGACAATAGATTCTTGACCTGGTCTTAATCTACTCCTTCAGGATAAAAAGTCCTAAATGGTGATTTCCTCAAATGACAACCAACCTGCTTATACCCAGTGTCAACCATTCAGAATTTTAACTAGCATAGACCAGTATGCATAAAGCATATTATATATAAGGAAGAAGTAGAGATCCATGTGCAAATATTAGCTGGTGCCATATTGTGAAAGGCATTAGTTACCAGCTGAAGCCTGGACATTATATGGGTAATGAGGAGGCCCCAGAGGTATGCAAATGGAAGGAGTGGGAGAGGGAGGGTAAAAATAACGCCACCACTGCTGCAAATAGGTGTGGAAAGTTCTTGGAACATACAATGCAGGGTCCGTGCACCCTCCCGCCCCCTTTTCTTAAACAGATCAAATATTAAAATATTTTTTGTCACTTTTCTCCACTTAGCTTCTGAAGGTATTTGAATATTTTGCTTCCTAGGGTCAAATCTCCATATTTTACAGAGGTCAGAAATACACGTCTGCAATTTCTAGCTTCATGGATAAAGGTATGAAAGAGAAAGTGTGAACATGATTTAAATTGACAAGAATGTTAAATCAGGCAACTCACTTGAAACTCAAATGGAAAAAGAGGACGGAAGTCAGAATCTTTGGCACACAATGTAAGATTCTAGAGACTATAGGAAACCAAAAATAATATACTGCTACAATTTTTTTAGGGAACAAAAATGCTAAAGATACATTAGCAAATGAGGCTTTGACTGATGTGACATAAGCTAAGACCTCATACCAACTATTGTAAGAAGTTTAAAGAAGATTAGAGCATGAGGAAAAACAAAACTAAAATAATTACGTGGTTTCACGAAAACTAAGTCCTTCCTCAACAGCTTCACATTCCTTACTATTGCTCTACTACAGTAAGACAATCCCTGGAAGCTATACTAATATCAGTTGATTAGATTTGGGGGAACACCAAAGTCCCACACTATAGAATATCTAACTTTCAGAAACTTAAAATACATGGAAAGTTGGCTCACGGGATTTAAAACTTGCTGAGGCCCATAAAACAACTGCAACTATATAAACCACTATCTGTTCAACTTAAAAACAGGCTTTTCAGGGGCCGGCCCGGTGGCGCACTGGATAGTGCGCCGCTTGGGAAGCGCGGCAGCGCTCCCGTCCGAGGGTTCGGATCCCACGTACAGACCGGCTCCCGCTCACTGGCTGAGCGAGGCGCGGGAGCAACGCCGAGGCTTGCGATCCCGTCGCCGGTCCCCGGTCCGGTACGGGGGCAACACTGAGGGTTGCGATCCGTAGCCGGACACGGAAAAAAGACAAAAAAAAAAACAAACAAACAAAAAAAAACAGGCTTTTCAATAAAATCTCTGTGACAAAAAGTCATACCTATATAATTTGTTATAATAAAATTAAGAAATATTGATCTCTGTGGTTTTCTAAGTTCAAAGTCACTACACAAAATATGTGGAAATCTGTGGTGTAATTTTAAAGTATGATATCTCATAAATCATCATTACTATCTCTTCCTTCTCTTCCTTGCAATATAATAATCTAACATGAAATAGATTCCATAAAGACTCATTTTTTTCAACCACTGTATATATACTAATGTTTGACTATATGACCACATGAAAAAGTTGTGTATACAGTTTCACTGGGAGCTCAGCAGCTCACTAGATACACCGAAGCATTTGATCTTCTACCGGATCTAAGAGTCATAAAATCTGAATAAAATAATTTTATCAGCTTGTGGAAAGTGATGCTACATTGTGATGGAAAATGCATTAACTGTCTTACCATAGGGTCTTTTTGCTCTATAGGCCATGTGACTTGTACCCTAACACTAACTGGCTTTAGAGGCCACAGACCATCCTATGCAGTTGAGTAAGGCCTGTGATGGATGACACCACTTATTCTAGTCAGAAGCCCAGCTAGGAATTTCAGAAAATCTAAGATTTATGCTGCTTTCCAGGGCAAAGGCCCAGGAGACCCACCAGTGGTGGAAGACAGAAAATTCATAGCCTCTCCCCCACCCCAGGATTAACCATACAGCAATCTGTTTGCATTCTGTGCTTCACGACCCTCACCTTCCAAAGTATAGAACCATAATGGGGTATATATACAAGGAAATGTGAAGAAAGCAGTAGCAGTGAGCCAAGTGACTTAAAGCTATGAAGTAAGACCTCAGGGGAAACAGCCACACAGGGGAAATAACAAAAAGAAAGAGGTGGGCAAAAGAAAATAAAATGTCAGAGAGGAAATTCTGATATCCATTTTGCTGTACTAGCAAATCACTTCAATATTTACAACTTTCTAGGTTCTACAACGGCAAAAATCATGCAATCCTGCTTTTCTGCCATTTAGAAGCAATACTATGAGGTGGAAAACAGACTAGTGCTTAGACTTTGACATCAACCACACAGGACTAGGGTAGTAGGAGAAAGAGAAGAGGTGAGTAGGTCTGAGGAGATAATCCACTTTTGCCTATCACTGTGAAATCACAATGTCCTACACTGTTAGCTGCAGTATCTTAAAACACTATTTTTTTTAAAAAAGAAATGCTAGTCTGTGAAAGTATCCCTATCTTCATCCCTCTGAAAGCAACAGAGGTCAGAGAGAATGTCATTTAGCCCTGTAGCACCCCTGGCACTGTGCCTCACACATGATAAGCAGCAGTAAATATGTACAGAACCAAATCTTCTGAACATCCCAGTATCTTAATTCTTCTTTCTAGTGTTTCTTATTTTCCCACTTCAGCCCCTCTTTCTTCGAGTAGCTTGCACTCCTCTGTTTCTGTGGCTTAAGTGATAATTTAGATAACATGAAATAATATGTTGTATTTATTGGAAAGAATTTTAGGTTTGCTTTTTTAATTGGAAAAGTAAATGTTAGGAACACTATCTTTTTCTCTCTAAAATACTTTACAAATTAAATTATGGATTAGCAGCCCTCAATAGAAAAAGTTCCATAACCCTAAGCTAAAGATGTGTTGCTTTCTGTTATATTAAAATAAAAATTGAAAGAGTTTACTTGTGCCATACTCTTTTTTTACAGTTAAATAAAGCCAAGAATTAAAAGATTCCATAATTGGCTAGAAAAAGAACCACAGAACTATCCTGGTTTCTACATAAGCATACTTTCAAAACAAAAAACTAATATCCAATGGGAAAAAGCCACATACTTTTCATAGTTCCATCTTCTTCTTCCTCATCCTCACTGTTTATAACCATGGTCCCCAAATCAGACTCTAACATTGTGCTGTTATGTTCAATCATCGTCTGGGCCCCTTCGCTCATCGTGCTTGTGGCCCTCATCGTGCCCACGCTTTCCGAACTAGTCTTCACCATGGTGTGGGAATCCAGCTCATCTTCATCCTGCAAGCAAAATACTGCAATGAAGGAAGACTTCTCTAAAATAGTTGGATTTCTTAATTCTCAACAGAATGAGCATAGTACATTTTCAATAATGATAAAAATACTACTATTACTACTAATTTTAATATAAGAACACACATACAAATGTTAACATAAGAGCCAGAATTATCCAAAATAACCTAAAGCTTTAGAAAATCAAAACTCAAGCAACAGAAACTGTTTGATGAAATAGATGGCTGCTAGTTGCTTTTAAAGTAAGAATTAAAGGCTGACTGGTTAGCACAGTCACTTAAAGCACGGTACTGATGACACCAAAGTTAAGCATTCTAATCCCTACCAGCCAGACCCCAAAACAAAAATAAAATAAAATAAGGATTAAGATAGGTAAATAATCACCAAATGCATAACAAAAAATACAGGGACAAAATAATTAAACATAAAGAAGACAGCACATTTAGGCAAGAACGTGTTGGCATTTTCTACTATAACAGGCATAATAATGTTTATAACTTTGTACAACAGCCATTAGCTTTTTCTTTTAAATTGTGGTAAAATATATATCACACAAAATTTACCATTTTAATGATTTTCAAGTGTGCTCTGTGGCATTAAGTATACTCACAATGTTGTGCACCATCAGCGCTATACATTTCCAGAACTTTTTCATCATCCCAAACAGAAACTATGTACCCATTAAACAATAATTCCTCATTCTCCCCTTTCCCCAGTCCCTAGTAACCTCTATTCTACCTTCTGTCATTATTAATTTGACTATTCTAGGTACCTCATATAAGTGGAATCATACAATATTTGTCCTTTTGTGTCTGGCTCATTTCACATAATGTTCTTAAAGGCTCATGCATGTTGTAGCATGTGTTGGAATTTCATTCCTTTTAACTGAATGATATTTTATTGTACGTACATACCACAATTTGCTTTCCCAATCATTTGTTGATAGACATTTTGGTTGTTTACACCTTTGGCTATTCTGAATAAGGCTGCTGTGAACACTGGGATACAAAATACCTGTTTGAGTCCCTGCTTTGAATTATTTGGGGTATATACGTAGAAGTACAATTTATGGATCATATGGTAACCCTATGTTTAATTTTCTTGAGGAACTCCCAAATTCTTTTCAACAATGGCTGTACCATTTTACATTCCCATCAGCAATGCACAGGGTTACAATTTCTCCACATCCTCACCAACACTTGTTATTTTCTATTTTTTTTTTTTAAATAGCCATCCTAATGGATCTGAAGTAGTATCTCATTGTCCTTTGATCTGCATTTCCCTAATGACTAGTGATACTGAACCATCTTTTCATGTGCTTGGCCACTTGTTATCTTTGGAGAAATGTCAGTTCAAGTCCTTCGCCCGTTTTTGAAATAGGTTGTTTGGTTTTTTGTTGTACAGTTGTTACACATTCTGGGTATTACACATTCTGATATTAATCCCTTAACAGATATATGATTTGCAAATATTTTCCTCCATTCTGTAGGTTGTCTTTTTCACTCTGCTGATAGTGTTCTTTGATGCACAAAAGTCTGTTTTCATTAAGCCCAAGTTATCTATTTTTTCTTTTGTTGCCTGTGCTTTTGTCATATCCTAGCCATCAGTTTTTAAATGTTTCACAGAAGAATTAAGTCAGTGATATAAATATGAACGAAAAATGCTCTTTAAGACATTCACCAAAAAAAACCCAGAATAAGGTCATAAAAATAAACTAAAAAATTCTGTTTGAGAGACCAAAGAATCTGCTATTTGGAAAAACTTGATCATGCACTGAGATTCATTTATATCTATTCCACTTTTAGCAGAAACATACAAACAAAATATAGTTCTGGCAGAGGAGAAAATGCAAATGTGCGGACTAAGAACATCAATGCTGTGTCTAAGCAACCTAGGTGGTTTGACATAACAATTTCTGGACAGATGTTTGATACTTCTCCTCTTCCTAAACCTACACGATAAGCTTGGGCATTATATCTCAAAGTCTTCTGCTCTTCTTTCATGACCCTCTCTTTCAGAAGACCTCTTTTTTCTCATGCCTTCAACTATCCTCCCAGCTCCCAAAATCTTCCTATGTCTTTACCTTCTACTTAGATGCTTAAAATGATGTCTAAAACTCGACATTTCCAAATCAGATATTATCTCACCCATCTCTCTAGTCCCATCTGTCTCCATCCTCAAAAACCACTACCACAAAGCACAGCAGTCTTCACTAGCTACCCAAGAGTAAAACTTTAATGTCTTCTTATGTTCATTCCCTATATAGAGTCAACAAGTTCTTTTAAAAAATTCTCTCAGTTCCCCCTCTTTTTTTCCATTCCGACTGTGCATTAGTCCATTTTCAGTTGCTTATAACTGAATACCTGAAACTGGGTAATTTATAAAGAAATGAAATTTATTTCTTACAGTTTTGGAGGCTGAGAAGTCTAAGGTCCAGGCAACATACCTGGTGAGGGCCTTGTTCTTGGTGGGAACTCTCTACAGAGTCCCTTGGTAACACAGTCTCACATAACAAGGGCTGTATGAGAGCACTTATTAATGTGCTCACTTGCTCTCCTTATAGAGCCACCAGTCCATTAAACCAATAACCGATTACTCCATGAATGGATTAATCTATTCAGTAATGGGTTAATTGTTTAATGGGTTGTCATGGATGTGATCCATTTATGAGAGCAAAGTCCTCATGATCCAATTACCTCTGAAAGGCCCTACCTTTCAACACTGCCACACTGGAAATCAACTTCCCACATGAACTTTGGAGGGGACAAACATTCAGGCCATAGCACACTGCTACTGGGTATATTCCTCATTACCTCATACCCAAGTTACTACAGGCAATGCTTCCTGACTAAAGACTTTCCCATCTAACCTTCTAGAATTAGACAGAAGTTAGCTCAAATCCTGGCTCAAATCACTCACTAGGCACAAGACCTTTAGGCAACCTACTTAAACCTTAGCTTCTTCCACTGGTGTTATGATTACTAAATGAGAAAAGGTATACAAAATGCCTATATGATACCTGAACCAAGGTAGTTTCACACCTTCCTCAAACTACACAGCTCTATACTAATCTTTCTTGAATACTGTTTGTATCACAATATTCTTCTACTGAAGAATCCGTAATGGCTTGCACATAATAAAGCTAAATATTTCTGCCTAGATTTTAATGTCCTCTATGTTCTTATCTTATTCTATCTGGCCAATCCCATTTTTTCCATTGTTCATATATCCTCCAATACAGGCAGGCTGACCTTAACCAAATCTCCCTTTGCCATAACTCCCTATAATGCTATGCCCATTAAGAGCTCCTCTTTGCTCATATCTTCTTCTCTGCCCAGAATGTCCTTCTCCTCTATCCATTTAACCAAATCCTACCTAGTCCCAGATCAAGTATCTATTACCTCCACAGTTAATTGTATCTCTGTTAATTATTCTTTTTTTCCCAAACTTCTATAGAATTTACAATCTACATTACAACTTTTGCATTTAAATTTATGTTTTCATATTATGAACAATTGTTTTGTTAAGTCTTTTATAAATATAATTACCTAATGGACAAGAATGACTTAGAGCACTTCTGAATCCACAAAAGTGTTTCATTCAGTATTCAAAACACAGTAAGCATTCAATAAATATTCACTTTTTCACAGAATTATAAATTCATTGACCTTTACAGCTGGAAGGAAACTAACTCAATCCCTCATTTTACATCTGAAAAAAGTGAGGCCCATGGATAAGTAAAGCAACTTCCCTAAGGCCACACCCCTATTTAAAAAGTAGAACTAGGGGCCGGCCGGTGGCGCACTCGGTAGCGGGTTCGGATCCCATATAGAGACCGGTTCCCGCTCACTGGCTGAGCGCGGTGCGGGCGCGACACCGAGGGTTGCGATCCCGTTACCGGTCACGAAAAAAGACAAAAAGGAAAAAAAAAAAAGTAGAACTAGGACCAAGAAACGAATTCTTTTATTTGTTAGCCTATCATTCTACTACATACATGTACCTTAGTTACACTAAAATTTTTATCTACTTGAATGCTTAGGTTAGCGGCACAAGTTTACAATTTTAACAGCTTATGTCATCATGTCCTATTCCCAAAGAGTCCCATACAAATTATTTGATCCATCCTAGCCCAAGCCACCATCTTCTCTTACTTGGACTATTACAACAGCCTTTTGTTTTCACTGTTTCCTTTCTTGCCCCCCTTTAGTGTTATACATAAGAGACAGATTTATCCTTTCAAAGGACAAATCACAGCATGTTATTCTCCTGGTAAAAATTCTGAATTTGACTCTCATCACGCTTAGAGTAAAATCCAAAATCTTTATCATGGCCAACTGTGATCTGGCCTAATAACATCTGCCAATCCCATCTCCTATCACATTCCTTCCTGCTCACCAAACTCCAGCCATAGTGGCCTCCTTTGCTGTTTCTTGAGCATTCTAAGCATGTTCATCCTCAAGCCTTTAAATTATCCAATGTCTCAGACTGGAACGCTCTTCCACAAGACAGCTTGATCATCTGTTTAATTCAGGCCTCTACTTAGATGTCACCTCCTTGATGAGGTTTTTTCTGACCATAAATCTAAATTGAAACCTCCATCATTCTCTATGCTTCTGTATTCTTCATAGCTGTACCTGGCCTTCTCTACCACTAGAATGTAAGTCTGATAAAAGCAAGACACATCTTTTTAACTTCTGAATCCCCACTGCTAAAACACTTGGCACATAGTAAATACCCGATAAGTATTTATTAAATGAATTAAGCAATTTATATTTTAATTTATTAATTCATTTAACAAGCATTTATTGTACATTTATAATATGTCAAGTAGTGGACCAGGCACTGGAGATGCAGAGATGAATAAGACACGGTTTTGCTTTTTAAGGAGTTTGAGGTCTAGGAGAAATCTATTGACATATGAACAATAAATTACAAGACAATCTGTTAAATACTATAAGAAAAATGTTGACAGTACAATGGGAATACCA